GCTTACTGTTGGGAAGATGACAGTTCTTTGAGCAAGCAATGGTAAATTCGGGTTCCTACAGAAACAGCATCAATCATACTGTGGTTCTTTGAGAGAAGATGCCTATCCACAATAATATCTTCCCTCTGATGCTGGAAACTGTTGATGGCCATCCACTTATTAATGGGCCCATAACCAAGGAAACACCACCTGTCAAAGTTAAAATTGGAAACCATGTTGAAAACTATAGAATGGAGTACCCGCTCTGTATTCTTTCCATCACACTATTGTCACTACAGTTGCTGCAGGCACAGATGGAATGAAGAAATCGCGATGAAATAATTGCTGGGTAGATCCTACGTCCTACAGACTACTTCTGGGAACATGTCTTCTGTTACCTAAACTGTCACAAGCATTTACTGCTCCTTGAGCCTTCTACTGAACCTGTTGCTATGAACTAAGGCTACCTGTACAAAGACTCTGCCTCTTGGATGATGGAATGAACCTGATGACTTTGAGCTTCTTTTTTTTTTTTTTTTTTTCAGTAACTCTGCATGACTCTCAGAACCCTACATTCTGTGGGATTGTTTTAATTACAATTTATACTAACAATATGCATGAGACTAGACTAGATATTAGAAACTAACAATGAAAAAGTGTAGCTGTTGAACCAACTTGATTTTTTATCAATATTTTCTATATCACAAAAATAGCAACATCTTTTACATAAAGAAAATAAGTTTATAAGTGATATTTTAAAAATAATAAATATTAGAAATTTCTACTTTTCTTTGAATCATTTCTTTGCTTAGCTAAAGAAAGAGATAACAGAGTAGTAAATTGGTAGGGAGAGAGGGAATTGGCAAAGGTTCAAAGTTTAGGTAGGCTCCTAAGCATTCCAGGCATAGTGATAGGTCAGCAGATGTTGGAGAAATGATGTAGAGGGTAACATAGAGAGAGTAGGGAACGGTTAGGGATGAAAGTGAGTGAGGTATGGAGGGATTAAGGGAAAGGTAGAGGTAAGATTAAGAAGAGGATTTGGGAGAGATTGAGAGGAGTTTGAAGAGGGTTTAGAGGAGGGTTGGGATGCTGAAGAGAAGGGTAAGAGGGGGATATTTCTACAAAAATAAAAAGAGCACCTACGAAGACACTGAACAGTTTTGAAGGCAAACATCTTGGACTTCACAAGTTAACCAAACAAAGAAGTGCACTGGAGCAGGTAATGAGACCTTTTCAGCAACCCAGACCTTTCATTAAAGTAACAAGTTCTTTTTCCCTGCAGCAGGCAAATTTTTCTCAGAACTAAAGATTAATCTGCTCTCCCTAATGCACAGAAGGGTGGCAGGAATCAGATTTTAACACATGAAGAGTGTTAGTGGCCAACTGTACCTTTCCTACACATACAGGTTACCCTACACTGCTTAACCATGATGCCTGCATGACACACATGGAAAGTCAAGCCAGGGAAAGGAATTTATGTCTCTGCATGCCTGAGAGGGACTACTGTCTTGACTTACACACATCTCTCTCTCTCTCTTTCACACACACACACACACACACACACACACACACCCAGGGTGCAGAGGATGGAGGAGGTAGAATCTCCAAATGAGATCTGAGGAATGGTCTAAGCAGACCCTAATGCTTTTTCTCTGTGTCTTCACCTTTCCCTTGGGAGCCTCTCTTGTTGAGGCTGCTAGACGTGGACTCTTTCCCTTATTCAGACAAATGTAGACAAATGATCAAATAACCGTAGAAGGTAATAGCGGAGGGGCTTACTGCTCACTGAGCCATTAATACGCTCAGCTACAATGTCAGGTATTTCACACACAATAATCATCTCATTACTCCTCAGAAGAATCTCATTACTCATTACTCCTCAGAACAATCTGGTGAAGTAGTTTGCTCCTGTTTTAGCAATGAGCAAACAGAATCCAAGCAAGGCTAATTCACTTGCCAAAGCCACACAGCTAGTAAGTGATGAAGACCTGTTTGGCCTCCAAAATCTTTGCCATTTCCCTTACAACAACCTCCCTAATGTAGTGTGGTGAAAGCTAAACAAAATTGTGGCAGCAGGGAAGTAAGTGGGACCCTTAAGTTTTCCCCTAAAAATGAGGGGGAAATTCAAAACATAAACTTCTAAAGAGTTTGGCTAATAGTTCCATTTCCTATATTTGGGTAGTACTTCCACTTCCTTAATTCCCTTATTCTTCTGCTGAACCTGTCATCACCCAAAAAACTTCCTTTTTCATTTCTTGGAAATTTTTCTTCTGTGTACCAAATGACTCGGACCTCTTTCAGATTCCAAGGTGTTTTTCATGAGAGTTGGGGTTCCAGAACAGATACCTACAGTACCTGTGCATTATGTAGCAGCACCACCCCTTGGATTGTCTGCCCAGCCACTTTTCGTAACCCATGCAAATCCTCTGCAGCCTTAAATTCCACCTCTTCTAGTCCTCATTGGCCTTCCCTTCCTTTCCTGAACATTCAAATGTACTTTGGCACTATCATTACTTTGTGGTATGTGAGGTATATTTCCCTAGGTGCATGTCCTATATTCCCCCTATTCCACCCACACACGTAAATACTTAGCTTGGTTGAAGGAATAGAACAATCTACATCTCTACCCTGGACAATTAAATATAACAGAGTGTCTTGTACATTAAAGGTTTGATACAGTGACTATTCTAGAACATTTAATTATCAGAGAAAGGGGCTTTTTTGTATACTATAGCCTCTTCTTGCATTTTCTCCTACTCAGTTGCTCACCTTTACTCCTAAAACCAAACACTGTCAATGTGGAATTCAAGAGAAAAAAATAAAACTTTAATCAACCACAAAGAAAAAAATGTTTCTTATTGGTCAAATTATCCTAGACCTAGGAAGATCAGCTGTGTTTGGTTCCCCTGGGACTGAGAGGAGTCATGGAACATAGGGTTTTCTGCACTAAAATGGAAGCAGTGCTAGAAAAACTGAGATGGTTGGTCAACCTACCTGGACCCTTCGTTTTTCTATCTGGCTACAGTAGCTTATTTAATTAGAGGACAATTCTTTATTTCACAAACAGGAAGAATTATCTAATCATAGAATCACAGATGTTGTATGTTGAAACAGAATAAGCCCTCATCTTAATTTTACAGATTAAGGAGCTGAGGACCAGAGAAGGGAAATTTACTTAACATAGCTCTGTGTATCCCTGCCTGTTGTTTTTAATTCCAGTGCTCTCTTTTCACCATGATCCACCATTCGAACCCAACAGTTAAAAATCAAGTCTGTGGCTACCATTCTGTTAGATACTGTAGACAGTGTTTAAAGTACAGCATAAGAGGTTTAGATGTGGTCAAGAACAAAAAAAAATTAGCAGGCATTACACAGCTAGCATAGATAGCCAAATGTTAAGTTCTGTGATGACAACAAATATACTAAACTGAAACATACAAGATGATGAGACTAATAACAATTTCCATGTAATAAGCACATCCTTTTTGCCAGATATTGTGCTGGGTCACTTAGGTCTTTTCAACTGTCTGCAATGTAGATATTGTTAGCCCCATTATACAAATCAAATGATTGGAGTCCACTGAAGTGAGGTTACTTGGCAGAAGTCACACTGCTAGGAATTGGTGGATTCTAAAAACAAACTCTGATCTGTCTCATTCCAAAGCTGGAGTTTCATCCAATCTACCACACTGCTTCTCAGTATGAATGACCTTTACTCTATTAACCACCCTAATAATATTGATTCATAATGGAATGCCTTCTATGCATCAGACACAAGAAGGAGGGAAAAGAGAGACAGAAAGGAAAAAAATATAACTAAATCATGACAATGTTTTTGCTGCGACCCCAATTTAACAGGGGAAGCTGTTGTGTAGTGCAGCACTGTGATGTACAAAAGAGAGAACACTAATTCTTCTTGAACTGAAGTGGTGTATTTTGAGCTGGTTCCTGGGGAAAACTCACTGGAAGCAAGAGGAAGGGCAGGGCTTCCTAGGTTGAGTGCAGTGCAAATGAAAAATCAAGCTGGAGAGGAAAAAAAAAAAAGATGTCTCCAGAAATGATAGTTCTATGACACTGGAGAGTAAAAATGTGTGTGTGTGTGTGTGTGTGTGTGTGTGTGTGTGTGGAGGGTAAAGGTGGGGAGATGAAGCTTTCAGTTAAAGACCTATCTATCTATTAATAGCTAAGGAGCTCAAATTTATCCTGTGAGTGATTTAGACTGAGATAATTGTTTTTCTTTTTTTTCTCTGTTTTAAATTTGAATGTATTTTTCTCTCCTGCTATGAAATACTGCACACTTATTTCAATAAATTCATATGTATCAGGACTTTATAATGTAAAAATTGAAGGTTGGCCCCTTTCTCTTTCCCCATCTCACAAACTCAGAGGTTTTTAAGTAGGAAAGAAACATGATTAGTTTGTACTTTAATACTTTTATAAGAATATGGAAAATGATAAGAAAGTAAGTGATAACCTGTGCCTATTCTATCTTCTTAGACTTTACATAGATGAGTTCAAACCATCAAAAGCAAAATATTAAAAGTAAATTAAGCCGGGTGCAGTGGCTCACGCCTGTAATCCCAGCAATTTGGGAGGCCGAGGCGGGTGGATCACGAGGTCAAGAGATCGAGACCATCCTGGTCAACATGGTGAAACCCCATCTCTACTAAAAATACAAAAAAATTAGCTGGGCATGGTGGCACGTGCCTATAGTCCCAGCTACTCGGGAGGCTGAGGTAGGAGAATTGCCTGAACCCAGGAGGCAGAGGTTGCGGTGAGCCGAGATCGCGCCATTGCACTCCAGCCTGGGTAAAAAGAGCGAAACTCCGTCTAAAAAAAAAAAAAAAAAAAAAAAAGTAAATTAAGCTCAACTCTAATCAAGTATTTATTTTAAGGGCTTACTGTGAGCAAGGCACTGAAGTACACATAAAAACATGCAGGACAACAACCCTACCATCAAGAATTTTACAATCTAGGGCAAAAGCGGCGGGAAGTTCGTACTGGGCAGAAGGCGACGGGTCTGCAGCTTAGGTGAAAATGCCTTGTGTAAAAGCAGCTCAAGCTGGAAGACAGGGCCCTGCAAAGAGACATCTTGCAGAACAATTTGCAGTTGGGGAAATAATAACTGACATGGCAAAAAAGGAATGGAAAGTAGGATTACCTGTTGGCCAAGGAGGCTTTGGCTGTATATATCTTGTTGATATGAATTCTTCAGGGTCAGTTGGAAGTGATGCACCTTGCGTCGTAAAAGTGGAACCCAGTGACAATGGACCTCTTTTTACTGAATTAAAGTTCTACCAACAAGCTGCAAAACCAGAGCAAATTCAGAAATGGATTTGTACCCATAAGCTGACTACCTGGGTGTTCCTAAGTATTGGGGGTCTGGTCTACATGACAAAAATGGAAAAAGTTACAGGTTTATGATAATGGATCACTTTGGGAGTGACCTTCAGAAAATATATGAAGCGAATGCCAAAAGGTTTTCTCAGAAAACTGTCTTGCAGCTAAGCTTAAGAATTCTGGATATTCTGGAATATATTCATGAGCATGAGTATGTGCATGGGGATATCAAGGCCTCAAATCTTCTTCTGAGCTACAAGAATCCTGACCAGGTGTACTTGGTAGATTATGGCCTTGCTTATCGGTACTGCCCAGAAGGAGTTCATAAAGAATACAAAGAAGACCCCAAAATATGTCATGATGGCACTATTGAATTCACGAGCATCGATGCACACAATGGCGTGGCCCCATCAAGACGTGGTGATTTAGAAATACTTGGTTATTGCATGATCCAATGGCTTACTGGCCATCTTCCTTGGGAGGATAATTTGAAAGATCCTAGATATGTTAGAGATTCCAAAATTAGATATAGAGAAAATATTGCAAGTTTGATGGACAAATGTTTTCCTGAGAAAAACAAACCAGGTGAAATTGTGAAATACATGGAAACAGTGAGATTACTAGACTACACTGAAAAACCTCTTTATCAAAATTTGCATGATATTCTTTTGCAAGGACTAAAAGCTATATGGAGTAAAGATTATGGCAATTTGGACCTCAGTGTTGTGGAGAATGGAGGCTTGAAAGCAAAAACAGTAACAAAGAAACGAAAGAAAGAAATTGAAGAAAGCAAGGAATCTGGTGTTGAAGATATGGAATGCTCAAATACACAGACAGAGGAACCCATACAGACCCAAAATGAGGAGTCCCAAGGAGCAATACACCGAAGCATGTCTCAGCCAGAGGCTAGCTGCAGCAGCTATGACAGTTCAAGAACCAGAAAGAGAGTCCAGAAGTAATTCAGATGCTGTGAACCAGCTTCTCTTTTCTTTGCTTTCTTTGACTTTTTTCTCCTTTTCTATTTGAAAGTGTTTTATTTTCATGTGAGTCTTGCAAAGTGGAAGTAATAACTAAATATCCATGTGTTTGGAAAACAAACTTTTTTATAAAAATAAGTATTTTGTACAATTAAAAAAAAAGAATTTTACAATCTAATAATGGATGAAAGATCACAAATAATAAGAAACTACCTTTTCATTTAGACCTCATCAGTTTCAAACATTAAAGAGTCTCTGAATGAAGTTTAAAAAAAATTCTGTAATACTTGGCACAGAAGAAAACAGTTCCCTCTTTAGCTAACTTTTCTAAGTATACATTTTAAGAGGAAAATGATGTCTATGTACTTTTGTACTCTCCCTTTCTGGTTTGCTTTTTTAAACAAATATTTTGTAATTTATATTAAAATGTGTCAGCAATAGTTATGGTCACTTTGTAGAAGGATTTACATGTGTTTCAGTTCATAAAGTATTTGTATAAGTCTGTTTTTAAAAGGTTTTATAGGAATAGATAATTTTTAAAATTCTTACTGCAGTAAACTTCAATATCTAACATTCTACTAGATATCAAATATTGAATGACAAGAACAATATAGGGATCAAAACAGTAGGGATCAAGATATTAAGATTAAACTCCTAGGTGTGCCATTTACTAGCTGTACAGCCTATTTCATTTAATAAATTAGGATAATAATCCTTGCTTTCTCTACCCAGCAAAGTTAGCAAAAGCATCAAATGAAAAAAGTCATGATAAAAAAGCCTTATAAAAATTGACAAAGCTGTATAAATAAAACATATCATTATAATAACCTATCTTTGTTAAAGTGACCCCAAGAATCTTGAAAATACTAAAATACCTGTTTCAATTTATTTCAACTTCACAAACATCTATACCTAGTAAGTACCTCCTATATGTCAGGTACTCTTTATTGTCAATTAAAGAGAGGTTCAATTAGGATTTACATATTTATTGTATTAAGTAGTTTTTAGTATTCCTACAATCAAAGCTTTGGCACATATAACAGCACTGTCCCAGAATACTCTATCAACTAAAATACCAATTTCTTCTTTGGGCATGTCAACTAGATGATAACTTACTGTAATTGGTCTGAGCTTTTTTGTTTTTTAAATCTATTTAGCACAACATAGAGAAAACAGGTTAGCACGACTAATCTGTGTGTTCCCATCAGTAAAAATAACTTAAAAATTAAAACTCACAGACAGTTGTCTTATTCATTTTTATGTTTTCTAAGTAAAAGTAATTGAAAGTTAAAAGGTCAAACCATACTGGTCTCTAACTAAATCTCAATGTCTGCAAGTAACAATTGTCATCATCATTTAACATGACTAACAGGATCTCACCTCAGTTATTATTTTACCTCAAAGTGATTCAGATGTGTGAGAAAGTTTGGTGAAGGGTTTTAGTCTGGAGAATATGGAACATATTCAAACTAGGTCTGTGGAGAAGTGGGGAAGGGTAACAAATGCTAACAGTAGTCAACTAAACACATCTGACTTGCCTCAAATGTACTATTATGTATTCCAATACAGATGAAAATGGACTACGACACAGAAACTGAATGGCCATGTGTGCACAAGACATCTGGCAACCTAAATTTCACATGAGAAAAAGAAAGTATGAAATTTTACAACCACAAAGAACAGAATGTCTGAAATGATATAGCTGAGTTCACTGCTTTTCTTTGTCTTTCACATTGCATTTTTCCTGTCAGTTACACCACAGATACCACATAATAGGCTACAAGTGAACCAACTGCACTGCCACCAGTGAAGTTCTGATTATTAGAAGAAAAGCTCGCTGAACACCAGTAAATTAAAGGAACTCCCAAACAGGTAAATATCAAAGGAAATTTCCATATTCAACTTCTAATTTTAGTGCCATCTTCTACTATAAAGTAAAACATGTGTTTGAAGAAATTGGGAGAAGATCAATCAAAGCCAAGTCAAAATAAAATCACACTTAAGATGTAACAGTACTTTAATGGAATATGTTAATATGTTCCAATAACTTCTTAATAATTATGATACAAAGTACAGAAAATAAAATTCCTGGCATGGAAAATGCCAGAAACTGGTGGTCCTGGCAGCCTTTGAATACTTTCCTTCTTCCTCCTCTCCAGGTCTGCTCTCCTTCTAGGCATTTTTTTCTTCTACTGGCTTGCCAGAAACCTAAATAACAACAATGAAAAACAGTCAATTAGCAATTGATACATTGCAATAAGAAGCATTTCTCCTCACTGGCTTTCCATAAGGGGAAAAAGAGAGAGTCAGAAAGCCTTACACTCATCTAATAACTGTGTAAAGCCTTTTTTTGAACAATAAAGATACTATTTTACAGATGAAGAATGGACAGGCAAGAGCTAAGTAACTTTAATCAGACTACATGATGAAGTCCAGTGAAGAGTAGAGAAACAATCAGAATTCCTAGATCTTAGTTTCAGTTTCTAACTTGCCCTGTGACCTTGGGTTCATTAATTGATCTCTTTTCTGAAGCTCAGTTTCTTCAAAGGATAAATTATGATAGTAATGTCCATGGTGCTTACCTTTATAAAATATTGCAGACAGTAACTTATTCAGTAAACATTTGTTATATTCCAATTATATATCAGACACTGCAATAGGCTTAAATGAGATAACAAACATCAAAACAGCAACCCCAGATATAAGTAAGAGCATTATTATTCCTCTAAAGGCTATCTAACCTTCCAAAGGAATATAGGTTTTCCAGAGAGAAAAAATAAACTAAGACTTCAATATGGTATTTCCTTTTATATTTTGTATTCCAAGAAATTTTTATTATTACCTCAAAGCTCTCTAACCTATAAAAATTAACAGAATTATATAAGAATGTTTTTCCTCCATATCAGGTGTACAAGCTGTCAGGTTGGTTATCATTTAAAAGAATGAAGACATGTACACTATATAGCAACTATCATTATTCCTACTAGTTGTGTTAAGTCATTTTATTGCATACTCATAAATAAGAGAAAACGGACCTAACAGGTAGTGAGCACCTATTGTTGGCCACACTCTGCTGGGTACTTTACCTATAAAATCTCATTTAATTCTAACAAACATTTAGCATGGTTTATATTATTCTTCCCATTTTATAGATCCAGTAGCTCAGTCTTAAGGAGGTGAAAGTCATTCAAGAGGGACTGGTGAAATAGTAAGACAAACTCAAGTTTGTCTCTCTACAATGCTATGCTTTTTCTAGCTCTTAGAAAGAATACTAGAGAAGGAATGGCCTATATTTACTGAGAGAAACACTGCAACCCAAAGAAGTCAGATGCTCCACACAGGCCACACAGCAACTTAGTGGCAGAACCAAACCTAGAATGCATGTCTTTTGTTTTCCGGTCTAATATATTTTCACATTAAATTTCACTAAATTAATATTGTGTCAGCTTAAATATATTCACCAAATATTAAAAGTTAATTAAATTAATAAGAAGTAGTAAAGTTTCTAATTAAAAATTGTTTTTCACAGAAACAAAATTTAAAAGAAGACACCATTTTTATATATAAACCAAATTTAAAAGGACATTTTATATATGAATGAAGTTTTCCATTTTTATTTATATTTCAGTTCAGCTAGTAGTTTTCTTATACATATACTTTTTTTCAATAGGTTTTTGGGTGTGTTTGTTGGCCATTTGTATATCTTCTTTTGAGAATATTCTATTCATGCCCTTAGTCCATTTTTTGATGGAATTTTTTTTTGTTTGCTTTTTCTTGCTGATTTGTTTGAGTTCCTTGTAGATTCTGGATATTAGTCCTTTGTCAGACGCATGATTTGCAATAATTTTTCTCTTTCTGTGAAGTACCCAGCAGAGTGTGGCCAACAATAGGTGCTCACTACCTGTTAGGTCCCTTTTCTCTTATTTACATGTATGCAATACAATATACATGTGTGTGTGTGTGTGTGTGTGTGTGCGCGCACACACACTTTTTTATTCAATAGGTTTTTGGGGAACAAGTCGTGTTTGCATATATGAATAAATTATTTAGTAGGGATTCCTGAGATTTTGGTGCAACCATCACCCAAACAATGTCCTACGTACCCAGTGTGTAGTCTTTTATCCTTCACCACCCTCTCACCCTTTCCCCTGAGTTTCCAAAGTCTATTGTGTCATTCTTATGCTTTTGTGTCCTCATAGCTTAGCTCGCACTTATAACTGAGAGTATATGATGTTTGCTTTTCCATTCCTGAGTCACTTCACTTACAATAATGGCATCCAACTCCATCCAGGTTGCTGTGAATGCCATTGTTTCATTGTTTCATTCTTGTTTATTACTGAGTAGTATTCCATGGTGTGTGTGTGTGTGTGTGTGTGTGTGTGTGTGTGTGTGTGTGTATAACTTTTTCTTTAACAATTTGTTGATTAATGGGCATTTGAACTAGTTTCATATTTTTTCAGTCACAAATTGTGCTGCTACAAACATGCATGTGCAAGTGTATTTTTCACATAATGACTTCTTCTCTGGGTAGATACCCAGTAGTAAGATTGCTGGATCAAATGGTAGGTCTACATGTCTACATTTTGTTCTTTAAGGAACCTCCATACAGCTTTCCATACTGGTTGTACTAGTTTACATTCCCACTAGCAGTGCGAAAGTATTGTATTTTCAACACATCCATGCCAACATCTATTAATTTTTTATTTTTAAAATATGACCATTCTTCCAGGAATATAGTGATATCACACTGTGGTTTTCATTTGCAATTCCCTGATCATTAGTGACATTAAGCATTTTTTCATGTTTGCTGGCCATTTGTATACCTTCTTTTGGAAATACTCTATTCATGTCCTTAGTCCACTTTTTGATGGAATTATTCTTTTATTTTCTTGCTGATTTGTTTAAGGTTCTTGTATATTCCGGATATTAGTCCTTTGTCAGATGCATAGTTTGTGAAGATTTTTCTCTTTCTGTGGGTTGTCTGTTTACTGTGCTGATTATTTTTCTGGGCAG